GGGGGGGGGGACAAAAATAAAAGTGACGCGCCTGCTTTTGCACGCTGCGAACTTTGTAACCAATTTGTGTAAAATGTTGGCCCATTGCGACGACATGGGACAGGTTTGCCTCTTCCCCTTGGTTGGACTCTTTGCTCATCAGGTACCCCCCCCCCTTCCGCCCTTCTCCCCTCCCCTTTCCGGCCTCTCGGCATGCTTCTCCAGGTCCTGTTGCTGCTGGAGATGCAAAGGTACTCCAGGCTGCGACCAAGTAAATCCGGCTTGCAATAACTTGCTGATGGTCTAAGCCGCAAGGATGACTTGACAACTTTTGCCTCTCTTTTGTCGTCAACCTTTGTTTTCTTTTTTTTCTCCCGTGCACGGTGTGTGCCGTCGCCGCCACATTTGTCACTCGCTGCCTTTATTTGTACCGCGTGATCAGCCTTGTGTGGACGTCATCGCGCGGGTCACTTGCCGCCGTCTCACTTTGTTCCGCGCCGCCCCCACCCTAGCCGCCGCCGCCGCCGCCGCCGCTGCTGGTGGTGGTGTCTTTTTGAAGCGCCAACAGCTGCGAGGCGGCTGTTTGTTTTCCCTCTGCATTCATTTTCATTTTTATTTTTCCGATGAGCTGAGAGATTTGGTGGTGTTGGACCGCGGCGCTATTTTTAAGATGGCCCGGCCGCTATTTTTATCGGAACACATGTGTGTGTATCCTGCACCATCGTAGCAAACCGAAGCAAAGCCAGGCGGCGTCCTGAGGCAGAAACACACACATACACACACCCTTTCCCCTCCCGCCGCCCTCCCTGTCTCTCTCTCTCTCGCTCTTAACAGACGCGTTATGTCATGAGAAAAGCTGCCGCGGTTATTCAAATGCCATATGACCGTCATGTAGACTCCACCACAGGCATTGCTAGGGAGAGACCCCCCCCGGGGGGTGTTTTGTTGGGAGCCGCAGAGTACCGTTTTCGGCAGCGATATGACTCTGTTATCACCTCGGGGAAGTGCTAAGCGGCCTGGGCAGAGAAGTCGTTCCCTGCGGCGGGGCGCGAGGCGAGCGGCGCCGTCCGCTAACCGTGCGACACGACACGCTGCCCTCCTCTCGAGCAAGCGCCCGTGTGTTGTAGAGTCTCGTGCAAGAAAGCTACAAAAACAAAACGAGAGAAAAAGATCAATACAAACGGATAAATATACTTTGGCAAAAATTTGCGGCGGCGCGCGCGTGACTGTTTGGATTAATTTGCGCGCCAAACGTATACGCGGCCGAGTGCGTGATTGTTGTGATTTGGAGCAGTCGGTGCCCGGTCCCCTTCATTTGCAGCGCCCGCGTCGTCGGCCTGCTCCTCGTAACCGGCCTGACCCGCCAGGCCGGCCGATTTGCGAATTATCGAGTATATACGTACACTCCTCGCTGTAGAAATAATTGGCGATCATTTCATTTATTGACCACGAACGAGGCCGCGCAGTAGTCGTGGTGACCCGGACCGGACGTGCTGCTGCTTAAATTGTAATGTTGTCGATTTTCCACAGGCTTTTGTTTTTCCTGCCACTCATCTATTTTACAAAGTACTCCAACATTGAGCAGCAGCAGCAGCAGCAGCAGCGCTGAACCGACCGTGCGTCTTAAATATTTGCCAAGTTTTGTGATCGGGTCAATCAATGGGCTGGGCTGTTCTTCGGAGTGTCCCACGGCGAGCCCCGCGAGGGTTCTCGGACGCGCAGCCCCGGTCCCCGGCGGTTCCCGGCGGTCCCTGGCCCCGCGGAGTCGGTCGCTGCCGCAGCTCACTGCTGATGCCTCGGTTTAGTCTGCCTTTGTTCTGCTCTGCTCCCCGGCCCGGCCGCGCGCCCATCTGCTGCGCCGCGTTGGATGAGATGAACGTTTGCCGCTCGCATCTGCGGGAGTAGTAGTATTTCTGGCCAGCAGCGCGGGGCGCCCTACGCCGCCCCTCCGCGCCGTATGGTTTCAGTCGAAGCGCGCGGCGCAAGTTTTTGACGCCTCTGTGCGCGGCTTCCATGCGCAGTGCGTGGTATAACATAACCCCATATGAGAGAGAGGAATGCATAATGCATCCCGCGGGGGGCTGCAGCCAGTTTCTTGGAAAAAGACTATTGGGCAATGTTCTGATGTCGCGTCAGAACCTCGGTCAGAACCAAGCGCGTCGCAAGCGGCTTCTTATCGTCGATGTGGATCAGCTGCCCCTCTGTGTGTGAGTGCGTGCGTGTGTGTGATGTGCGTGAGGGTCGTCGGTCGCCCCTGGCCCTGACGCAGGGCACAACATCGGCAGCAGGAAGTAAGCAGGGCCTGCTCGGCGCGCAGCCGGGTGGGGCCGGGCGGGCCACCAAGTGGGCCGCCCCCGCCCCGCCCCGCCACCTGTTGCCCAGTGACGTCAGGATGTGACACGCGCTGCCCACGCCGGCCGGGCGGCCCGCGGGCGCCGGCGGCGGTCTCTTCCTCTGCACCCCGCGGAGGCGCGCCTCCTCGACACGAGGCTACACCCGCGAAGCGTGTGTGGTGCAGCCGCGCAGCTCCCCGAGACCCATACAGTCCCCAAGTCCTCATCCCCCTCCTCCTCCTCGGGCAGGACGTGGTCGAGACGGGGCTTATCTGGCCGGGCCCGGTGCCCCTGCTCGCCCGACGGGGCGGCCTGACGGCGAGCCCGACGGGATGTTGTTGTGCCCGGGGCTGTCGAGGTTACCGTGCCCCAGGTCGGGGAGCGCGCCGGGCGCCGCGGAGCGCGCAGTGCAGCCCGCCTCCCTCCTCCTCCTCCTGCTCCTGCGCCCAGTGCTGCAGCCGGTGCAGCAGGGTGCGACGTGTGTCGTGCGCCCCTCCACGCCTCCCCTCACCTCTCCCACCCCCTCCTCCCCCGCATTGCTCCCCTGCTCGACGAGCGCGCATCACCAAGTTCTTTGTTTTGGTCCCTGAAATAGAGTTGGTCCTGTTTCCACACCGGTCGCCTATTCATAGACCAGAGCGTCCCGCCCCGCCCCGCTCCTAGGGGCCGTGTGGAGGTCCAAGGGCCCGAGCGGGTGGTGGGGCGGGTACAGGGGAGCACCCCGCCGCGCGCCCGCCCCCGCCCCCCCGCGCTGCAGCTGTGGCTGCGGCGGCTCTGGACCAGGAGTACTGGTGGTGGCTGGTTGTGGTGGTGGTGGTGGTAGTGTTGTGCTATTTTTGCGGTGCGTTCTGCTCTGGCGTCTCGATGGTGGTTGCGCCCTCCCCCTCCACCCCCACCCCTTTGGCTTGGGCCAACGCCTCTGCCGCGAGCGCGCCAACAACTCTATCTCTGTTTATTTTTGTGCCATTTTTGGGCTCGTTCCATCTTGGATTCCTTGCCCTTCTCCTTCTCAGCGCTGTGCCGGGCTGTCCCGCCGCTGCTCCGCCGTGACCCTCGTCGCTTTGGTGTGCTTCCAGCGTAGCGGGCGGTGCAGAGGCCGAGCAGGCCCCCCGAGCAGCAGCAAGGCCGAGGCCCCTAGCATGGTGATGGCCGCGAGCCGGACGGAGCCGAGATGCATCACCACGAGCAGATAGTAGGTGAGTCGAACGGTCGAACAGGGCAAGGGTGGGGTGGAAGAGAGAGAGG